GGCACAAAACATGTATCATCTTTCTTTGGCCAGGAGAAAGATCTTGCTGGGTAGCTTGGATGCATGAATTTGACTTTAACATCATCATGTTCTTTATCCATTACATCAACGAGTCCAATCCAATCCAGCAAACAACAAAGTCGGATACCTTTGGATCTACCAGCTTCACTAGGTTTGTCTTTCCCAACACCAGATTAAACTCTAATGCATATGATTCATCTTCTGAAACACGTTTGGCTGCCATTACACTCTCAGAGAGGGGGACAAATTGATGAAAGCTCCTTGTGCCAGGGAGAATACTTGCACTGCTGAATCTTTTCTCCAACATGCTCCTGACAGGAACCATCTCTTCTGCTGAAATAAAGTTAACATGAACCCCCTTGATTTCTTCTTTACAGTACTCAAAAACTTGCTTTGCAGTCAAAATTGGACGTGAGTGTGTCCTCTGTAGACTTGCTCTTGCTGTTAATTGCTTCAGTGTACCTCCAAGTCCATCGCACGGAGATTTGCCATGGCTTGTAGCGAAGAATAAGCAATCACATTTCACATTGAAGTCCTTTTCGTGAAGGCACAAGTTGATGAAATTCTTGTAGTTCTTGTATTGTCCAGCACAGCCATCGCTAAAGTAATGCATCATACTCAGTGCCATAAAAATCTCCTCCTTGACATGTTTTACAGTTTTCTTTAAAACTTCATAGACAAAACATGTATCATGATTCAAATCATCCGAGATGAAACAAAGATATTTCTCTGTAAGTTTATTTTCTTTGATATAGTACAAGACAATTAGACGTAGGGTACACGACTGCTTATTCCAGTGAAATCCTTCGATTTCATCTTGAATTATAAATTGATAATTCTTTGCAAAATCTCCCAAACCAATCACCTCATTCTCTTTCAGTTCCTCCTTACACTTCTTGAGATACTTTGCCTGAGATTTTGCAATGTAAGAATGAGCTGTGAGAGTGTTAAGCTTCTCTATAAGGTTGGAAATGAAATCTGCAACCGGAAGGATCTGCTCGACTAACTCTGAGCGGTCGACAGTTGTCCATTCTTGGAATTGTATGGTGAGTGGTTCATCATCCTCATCAATTTCAGGTTGGAGTTGTTGAAACAAGTAGTTTTCCAGATTTTGAGTGTCAGCTGGGCAGTTGGGACAACGGTGAATCATTCACTCTTTGGAATCTCTGCTGCACACTATCATGTCCATAAGCTCATGGTAATTTTTGTCAAGGTTTACTGCACCAAGCATCAAAACTACATTTTGATGAATGGTACACACACAAACAGAATGGGTTCCTGAACATCCAACCAACACACACCGTTTTGGTTTCACACTGCAAAACTTTGAAAATCCTACTTTTAGATCTGGATATTTCTGTTTGAATGTAGCGTATAGTTCTTTCAAGTCACAAAGCAACATTTTTTTGCTTGTGAACATTTCTTGCAATGCTAACACAATCCTTTTTGCCTGGCATAAGTCTACTGTAGTCATCGTAGCAATAAAAATCAACAACACATCTTTTTGTTTCTTCAGATAAAGCTTCTCCTTTCTTTGGTCCTGGTAATTCCAAAATACCCCTTTCCTTCACTAATTTTCTTGCCTGCCTGACCATGTAAGCAGAAACGTTAAATTCATTTTTAGTTTTTTCAATGGACCAAGAAGGTGGAGCAATAGTCAGTATTTGTATTTTCTGTCTTCTGTTAAAGGATTGTATCGGCTTTTTCCTTTATTTCTTTGTAATTCTCAGGTTAACTGTTCTTTGATAGTTCTAGATCTTCTGACATAACATCAATAACTTTGGCAACTCGTTTCTGTATTGTGGTTTCTTGATCTTTCAGTTTATTGTGAAATTGCTGTAGTTTGCGTTTACCTAAAGTGACTTTGGAATGAGAAGCAACACCACGTAGTTTCACTTGACTCAAACCCATCTCTTCAAAACTTGTGTCAAGGTCATGCTTCAAGGACATTTCTTCATTGCTCCCAGAAGACATAGTTTCTACATCAGTTTCGTTTCCCATATGTGAATCAGATTCATCTACAAACTGCTGATCCTTCTTATTCGATGCGGCCTCCAGGTTACTAGTATGTTCTTTGCGACAATTTGGGCATGTCTTTTTTCCAGGAATTACTGAAATATTTATGCCATTAAAATCTTATCAGTGTTCAAAGACACTTCTCGCAATGAACCCTTTATTGGTTTTTGGTGTTTTTCAAATGGGTTGCAGCAGTGTCTTTGGTACTGTGAATATCTTGTAAGAACTGTCTGCTCATGATGCAGACAAATTTCATGTTCAGGACTGTTTGAAATTCCTGTTCTCATTGATATTAATTTGACCTGCTCTGCTGTTAAAATGCTGAATGATTTCAGGCCGGTTAACCTTGTATGAACACAGCCTCGTCCCCAGGCGCTTTGATTTGCTGCGCCGTTTCGTGAGAAATGGAAATTTGGACGGGAAGCGCCTGACAGAATTTGCATTCAAGATGGCGGATAACTGTTTCGCAACAAAAAATAAGGATTTCAACGAAGATCTTGACGAAGATGTGCCTTTAATAACCTCTGGACTGGAATGGCCAGTCCACGATATTTCTAGAGCTGAAAAAGAGTTGCAGTTTTACTCAAATTGTGTTAATTAATATTATAGCTATTATTGTAAATGAATTTTTGAAATTCCTATAACGTGCAATTCTTGCCCCTGTCACTCACTTTTAGCTTACATACCTAAAGTGTTGCAAGTTTCCTTAAATCGCATTGGTTAAAAATTCTAGTTTAAAAACATAACTTGTATGATCTGGCAGATTGGTGACTTGCCATCCCATCGTAGATCTCCAATACTATTATCAACACAAGGGAAAAAAATGCAATCGTACAACCAATGAATTGACATTAATTTGATTTTGGATTTCAATTTGGCTTGACGTTTACTTTTCCTCAAATTTCAATGTTATTCTCTTCGTTATGTTTACTTTTGACCAAACTATATTTTCTTAGGAGAATCTTTCTTAAGAAACATAACTATTCGAAAGTTTTTGTATTCACATCATTTGTAATGATAAATTGTCGCTAATGATTCACAGGATGTATTATTTCTGGGTTTTCATTCATTAGTGGAGACTACAAATACAGGGAGGAAATCTTGCCTCCGTAGTTTGAAGACGTCTGATGTTTGTGTAGACAGTCTAGGTCGGCACTTGGTATGCATTGTATATATGTTTAAGTAATACCAAGTATCTGTAACTTATTAATTTAACAGCCAAAAAATTTGAAAAGAGCAATCTTATAAGTAGATTCGGAAACTAAAACATGAAGTACAAATGAATATTATTTTCCGATTATTAAAAAGTAACTTTATAATGTCGTGTTCTGTGTCGTATCATGGATAATAAAATACATGGATAGGAAACTAGCTGACGTGACCTAATGTTTTCAATGGGATGATGGCGTTGAAACCTAGTTGCAAACCAAATACTGAAAAACGGCATGTTTAGCGATAATACAGCTAAACATTTTAGTCAAAGAGCAAATAAATATAACTAGGCCATTCTACGATGAAATCTCTAAGTATTCCCGGTCAATTTTAGCTAATATTTCAAGCACTAAACAGTGAAAAATGCATCGCAAATTTCGTAAAAATTGGCGACGCCAATTTCGTAGCTACAAATGTAAAAAAAAATACAAAGCAAACACAAAAACCATTTACCTTGAATACTTTTGTCGTTGCTTAGGCATGTTTTTAAAACAATTAGACCAGTTTATGCTTCAATATTAGTCTTTTAAAGCGGAAAATATAGCGAAACAACAAAAATGCTGAGAACTTTGGCAATACGCGTGACGTCACAGATTGCAACTAGGTTTAGACTGTGACGTCAGGAAGTTTCCTATCCAGTTATTTTACAATCCATGGTCGTATATTTGCAGTTGTATTTTGTATTCAAGTGTACAATTCAAATGTGAATTCTGTTTTTAAATATGTGAATATTCTATCGTTTGTCGTGTCAGTTATTGTTGAATGTTGACGTCATGGCAATAATATGTAGATATAGACAAAAAATAATCCCGCCCAGATGTTTGTGCCAAAACTTCCTATAAATGTATGTTGTGTTGTACGTCAGAATTCCTTTCCAATTTGTGTTACATTATATATCAGTCCATTTCTTTATTATTTTTATGCTCACCGTTTGTTTGCCTCCAACGGATACGATTCCTCTTATTTCTTTCCTTTGACATTGCCATTATGTGACTATTCAGTTGAGTTGTGATTATCTGTTTCAAATTAAACAAGTTTCAAACCAGAACAAGACATTGAAAGTGCCAGTCATGATGGACACATGTGAAATAAAGGATATTACTTCCCGAAGCAAGATAAAGTGTACGACAGCTATGGTGATCATTGTAGCCAAGATAAATAGCCTTGTGGACTTGACCATGGTTGACGAAGTACGGTGAAGGGAAATTTGGAGAACAAAACCAAAAAACAATCAATAATTCAAATCGTCTATGCGATTGAACATCTGAACTTGTGACAAATTCTGTTCTCAAATTGGATGTAATTGAAGCATGCATTAATTATTGCATTGAGGAATTTTGGACTAACAAGGAGCAAATAGATTAGATTCTTAAATACTTAAAATGTGAAGTAAATTTATAAATTTTGTAATGTTTTGTTCAATAATCAAAGTATCACCAACATTGATCACGTTTGTTTTTTTTATAGTAGGTATTACAACGTGTTTGTTTTGGCATGATCAAAAATCAACTGAACCCATTGCGGGCTGAGATTGAAACCCACAACCCCCGGAGTAATGATGTTAAACAAAGTGCCATTTACAGAATTACTGAAGCATATTAACATTAGAGAGGTTCAGATTTGGCTTCCACTACTGCAACCGCTAGCTCTCACTGGCTTAGTACGAATCTGATTGGTGGATGGTCAAACGCATCTGATTGATTGATGGTCGACGTCATTCAATGGAGCAGTTGCGGTAATGGAAGTCAAATCTGGACCTCTCTAATATGGGCCATAACTTCGATTTCGTGCATTGATTTGAAATCAGGTACAAACTTTAACTTATACCGAATGGAATTGGAAAGAAATTAACGAATGGAGTAGGAGCTATGTGTGAACGTAGTAAATTTCGGTTGCCGTGCAAATGATCTATACAAGGTGCATAAGAAAGTACACAATTTTCAAGTTGCCATTAAAATGAAAATTCCGCCGCTGCGAAAATGCATGTGAATATGGGTAGTTACGGGACGGACCATTAGAGAAGTGATGGTGGTGTAGGGAAAAACAACAAAAATCCATACAAGGAAATAAGTTCTGAAAAATAATCGGAGCCGGAATGTGGCAGAAGAAATAAATCAAACACGAAAGAAAAACGTGCACACCAAGGAAAACGTAAAAAATCCATGCATGGCAAAAACTTCCTCCAGACCCAGTTCAGTTTTCTAATGGTCAATCGCCAAGGGTTTTATGATTTCTTGAACAATGACATATTTCCTAAAATTAAATTCCTCTTAACTGGGATTTAAGATTTTGGGAGCCGAGACAATGACGTAGATATCAAGACTCCAGCTTTCGGCTGAAGACTCCAAGTTTGGGACACAATTTCCAGCTCTTAGCTGAGCAAGCAAAATCTCCTACCAAACAAAAACTTTTCTACTAAGGGAGGATTTCCACTTAGAGAAATATAAATCAGTTCTACTTGATAGCTCATGATTCAAAAGATATTGAGCGAAAAATTTCAACCTTTTAAGAAAAAGAAGATACGAATAGAGTTAAAAATAAGGAACCCAAATCATGCGCCAGCCCTAACCCTGATACCAGCATTAAACCAAACTTCTGGCACTTCAGAATAGCACTGGTTTGGCTTAATACTATTATCAGGGTTATAGTTAGCGCATGATTTGGGTTCCTTATTTTTAATTTTATTGGCATCTCCCTTTTCTTAAAGCTTGGTGTTTGGTTTAGATGTCATTTGCGGGAGCTTGGTGGAGTTTGAAGGAGCTCGAGAGAGTTAAGGGGAAGCTCCATCGAAGGAGTTAGGGGGATTTTAGGGGAAGCTTTGGGGAGTTTAGGGGGAGCTCGAAGTAGCTTAGGGGGAATTGTTCAATTTAGAATTCAATTATTCATATTTAGGATTCAATCTTAGGATTCAATTATTCAATCTTAGGATTCAAGGACTCAATATTCAGTAGGATTCAATGTTTGATTCTCAGGATTCAATTTTAGGATTCAATGACTCGATCTTTGGATTCACTGATTCAATCTTAGGATTCAATGATTCAGACTTAGGATTCAATGATTCAATTTTAGGATTCAATGATTCAATCTTGGGATTCAATGATTCAATCTTAGGATTCAATGATTCAATCTTAGGATTCAATCTCAGAATTCATTGATTCAATCTTAGGTTTCAAGAAGTGGTTTACTTAGGGCACGAAATGGGGCACGAGGTTCGCCCTTTTGAATGCAGTGGCTATGTTGAATCGGATAACGAAGCGCTCAAACAAGTGACGATATATATCAGAAGCGTAACATTGTAAACATTTTCAAGAAATAAATCTGTTTTAAAAAATTTTGTTCCAATTTAAGCCAGTGAAGCGACGCTGCCACCCGATTTTAAGGCCTACGCCTGCGTAGTATGTAGTCCCACACTCTCCATAATAAGAACTTAAAGAATAAAGCTTGTAATCCTTTAATAATGACTTTGGCGGTATACGTTATAAAATTTCGATATATCTCGCACATAACCTGTAATAATTCGCCTTCTTATTTTTCTGTCTCAAGCTCACTCCACATATGGATTCAATTTATATTTCACCCGGGCAGATTAAAGACTTTTTAATTACGTTAATTGCGTCTGCATATAATTATGGGACATTAAACATATACAATGGTGCACCGCCCTACAAATGGAATTGACTGCGCCGCCTTGTGCCACCTCAATTTTATGCTAATACACGGTTTTACATAACAAGACGCGGACGTCAAGAGGACGTGGATGTCGTCATTTGGCGCAAACTATCTTCTGGTTTGCGACGTCGTCTTGGACGATTTCACGACGCGAAAATACAATTTTCACGTCCTCCCTAGAACGTCACAGATTTTTGCTTCTTTTGCAAAAATA